GACTAGTAACAACGAGCCAGCGAGAAACGTTTCGAACTTAAGAACTCACCAGAGTGTACTGGTAACCAAAGCTAAAAAAAGTTAATTTCAACCAGTAAATGTCAACTGACCTTGACTCAAAAACTTTCTTTTGTTTTGCGGTGATGTGATAAGGAAAAGATAATTTAGGAGGACAAGTGGGCTCTTTACCGAGAGCGTTTTTGTTTTTCTTAACCTCCGTTTTCTTAGAAGCGTGACCCTTTTGTTCGTCCAACGAGAATACCTAAAGTGAAACCATTATTTATTGCTCTCTGAGAAACATGGTGGATGGATATCATTCATTTGTTGTAAAAAACATGATTGAAGAAAAAAGTGAGGATGCGCTTTTAAAAAAGAAAAGATCTCAATTTCTAAATGGAAGTCGTACAGTCTGAAACTGAATTTGTAGTTGTTACCAAAGCAGAAAAAAAAATTACAGTTGTGTTCTGTTTGGGCCATCAATTATTTTTTAAATAATTTTTTTGAGCAAAAAGAAAATCTTCTCGGCCAAAAAAAGTCATTTTCTGAAATTTCAACCGTCTGTGGTGATTTCCAAATCGATACAGCAAAATGAAAATAAATCGCAGAAGGTTTTTCAAATATCACAATGTTCAATTTTTATCCACAGAATTAAAACTACACAAGAATTACAACCGTATCAAAATCATGCAACAATCTTTGATTATCAAACTGCATCAATTCTTGCTTAACCTTTTAGTCAATAATAAATAAACATTATGGACTTTTAAGTGAAACTGATAATTCCGAAAAAATAAATTTTTTTTACAGATAATGGCAGAAATATGCAAAGCTGGAAAAATTTAAAACTCGAAACAAACATTGGATAAACCATTAAATGAGAACAAACATCACATATTCAAAGCACAGAGAAATAAACTAATCAGTATAATCCAAAATGGCGAGCAAAAACTCCACGATGATAAAATTGGAACAAACTGTTTTTTTTTGTAGTTTTTTTAATGCTTATCGGTTGATTTGCGGTGACCTAAAACTGAATCCAATTTTATGTGATGAAAATGATTTCAACACATTTTTTCTACTTTTGGCTTCAAGCTTGCCGAAAAACTTAAAGTGAAAGAAAAAACTTGAGTTTTTCCCGCCATGAAAAAAAAATTGTTTTGTACTCAATATTATATTTTCCTCGGAAGTTGTCAAAGCCCTTAGATCATTACAAAATCAAGGTTCCAAGAGGCATTATGGCAATAATAAAAACTTATTGAAATACTCACTACCAGTAATTGACAACGTTCAGCAAACAATTTCAATAAGTGTATTTCTGAAAAGTACTATCCCGATCAGTTTTAGATCGCAAAAATTATCCCCGCTGATCAAAGTTGTCACTCAAATTATCCCAAAATTTTTCAACCCACCAATTTCTAAAGTGCAACCTCTAATTTTTCAAAAAAAACTATTCAAAAACATGTTATCTTTCCTTTAAACGAAATAAAATTCTTTTTGGAAAATAATTTGTGTTACGGCCTACAAAATGATGCATTGATGGATTACAAAAGCTATGAAACGTAATCGATAGCGACATGTTTAACGATTAAACCTCACAAAAACTTTTGATACGCTCAGTCATGACTTGCTGCTGCAAAAGCTTGTATATGTTGATTTTTGTGGTGTTTTTTTTCAATTTCATTAAAAAGTTCCTAGATTATCATTAATCAAAGTTTCGTAATAATTTTACCAGAAACACACAAAAAAAAACTAGATATATTGTACCTCAAAATTCGCTTGTACGACCTTTTTTTTTTGTTTTTAAAATCGATATGCCAATAAGCTCGAAAAATTTAAAACGTACCCTGTTTGCTGATAAAACCTCTGTAATTACAGAAACTAAGCTTACTAGCCAGCAATTTATGACAGATATCTTGGTCAACATAGGTTTGTCGACAAAACTTGTTTGGGTTGGGAAAATGAAAATTTGAGTACTTGTAATTTTTCAGCTCGAAAAATTGATTCCACAGTTTCAAGAATTTTCAAAAAAAATTGGCCAAGTTTTCTATACTAGTTTATTAGGTTGGTTTGTATTTTGTAAAACCACAATTGTTTCTGTAACAGTCATCTACTTATGCCGTATATGAGATTAGAAAAAATAGGCCCTATAACCTATGGTTCAAGGGTCAGGGACGTTACCTCTTGTAGTTTTGCACCTCATTCTGTCGGAGACATTTAGGTTAGCCTAAGACATGAGACATCAAGATCATGTTACAGCTTAAGGCTGCTATCAAAATACCCCCCACTCTGAAAATAAGAACATCCCCATGGCTAATTCTTTAAATACCTGAACACGCAAACGCCGTTAGAAACAGGGTAGGAACTCAGGTAAATAACATTAGTTTTATTGGACAGTGGACCTTTGATCTATTTCAGATGGATCAAGCTAAAACACGCTGTCAAATGCACTCTAAAATCGAAGTTCATTATCCACTAAATGACCACAGCTCAGGAATCGATTAAGTGAAGTAATTAAGATAACTCGAGAAATAATGTTGATTAGTTTTAAAGCAAGAAGTTGGGCCACTTCACTCGTCAATCTGCCCAATCAAGGTTCTTTTTTGTCCAGCGATGACACTATCGCAAATATTCTCGGTGTTCTTTATCGGGAACAAGACAGCTCTACTCGAATGGTTTGATATTGAGCAAATTGTAAATAACAAGTTGACTCTTGGTCAACTTTCTGTCAATTTTTTTGCCAGATTAATCGGTTCTTCTGATTTTCTGATCTTTTTCATTTCGGTTACTGCATTAAATTTGAGCTTAACTTGGTCAATTCAATTTTTTCAAAAATACCACTTCACCCCAAAATCAAGATAAAACTTCAAACACATAAGTTTACGGTAACACATATAAATCTCAACTGGAGGAAATAAGTAAGTTTTAGAAAAAGAATATGAGACTTAATTGTTCAAAATTATCATCCTTGGACAATAATGTTAAGAAAAAATCGGAAAATGTCAGGAAGACAATGAAACAAAAATTATAACGAAATGACGTGTCACTCGTAGATCCTGCAGAAGCAAAGGTGTGCTACCAATTGTGCCCTTTCACAGCACAGTCAGTTAAACATCTCGAAAAATATACCTTACTCAAACATATAATATAAAGATAGAGTCTCATCTATTTCGTGAAGATTTTGAAGGTTTGAAATCAAACGAATATGAAAAAATCTCTTCACAACATTTCAATAATCAATTAGAGATCATGAGTTTGTCATGAACCTAGTTAATTATAGGAGCCCAACTATCTACTTTTTCTTTTGTTTTATCTTTTCAGGGCGGATGGCGTTGAGCTGAAATGCTCTTTCAACAGCCATTCTAGTGTACTTGTTGCGATGATTTCATTCATAAAGCAATGTTTCTGGATAAACGAATTCAAGTCCAGAGATCGCAAGACAGTTACGCTTTATATAGATTTCAAAAATGAAGTTAGACAGACAAAAAAAAGCTCAACGAGAAGATATCGGTACTACCATAACAATTTTAGCCTGGAACAAGAACTTTTTAAAATAACATCTTCAAAAAATGATTTCAAGAAATAGGATGAATTTTAGTATGAGTTCTTTAGTACTAGATGAAACACACAAAAATTAAAGAATCGTCGCTCAGAAGAAGAGAAAAAAGAGCTAGAGAGAGAAAAAGGCATTCGACTTTCAATAATAAACCATTTAACTCTTTGTATTCTGAAAACTTCACCATTGAAAACCTATCAATCAATAGTCCATAATGAAAAATCAATTAAAGAGTATGTTAAAAAGCAATTTCCGCTAGCTAACAAGCTAGGCCAGTTTGCCATATTTTTCAGCATGCCTTATAGAAAAAATAAAAATAAGCATTTTCGTACAAAAGACCTAAAATCTAGTAAAATATGAAATAAAATTTAGTAAAAAGCCTCACTCAGAAAGAGTTACTAAAAGAATTGTACATCAAAACAAATGCACTCATAAAATACCTGAGAAAAATTTCCGAATAATTTAACGAATATTTTTTTGGAACTAAAATTCTCATTCAACTGTGCTAAAAAGATTTCAAGAAAACTGCTAGAAACTTATCAAGTTTTGTTCTTTTCATGCGCTACTTACGCGTTTACAGTGTTTATCTTATCCTTGGGGAAACATAATTTGGCAGTCTCCCATTTGAGAGTTTGCTGAGTTGCAGAAGCTATCAAAACAAATTTATCAAAATTAGCAAAGATTTTGTCAAAATCATTGATTTTTCAGATCTGAAATAACCAAGAAAAACTAATTCGCAGATGTAAGTTAGATTTTTTTCAAATCTGAAATCAGCAAGAATCAAAAACTTTCATATCTGAATTTAGATCTGAATTAGGCCATTCACAAAGTATATCAACGTCATTTTAACTTTTCACAAATTTCAGATCTCAAATTTATATCTGAAAAAAAAAATATTTCAGATCTGAATTGGACCATTTACTAGGTATGGGTTGTTGATCTTCAAGAATTCGGCAAAAAAAACATATATTTCAAATCGTATGTCAAATATTAGCCAAAGCTCGCAGAATGCTTGCAAGAAATTGCATAATTGGGCTTCAAAATGTGCCCTCTCAGGCAGGGGTGGACGGATCTTGGATTTTCTCGATTAGGGGTGGAGGAATTTCAGAAAAAAATGCAAAAAGTGATGACAATTTTGTTAAAGTGAACTAAATTGAGCTTTTGAGCTCTTTTTAAACCTGAAAAAGGCCCTATTTGAATTTAAAAAAAGAATAATTTCACCGCAGGTGAAATTGTGAAAAACAGACCGCAAAAGACTTTTGGGAATTTGTTGGAAAGTTTTGGCCGGTCGATCATAACTTTTGTCTATATACTTATATATGTCTATATATTTTAGCGTTGGTAAAAAAGAGTTCGTTTCAGAATACAATTTTTCTTATTTTGGATAATTTTACTTTAGTCATTTTTCGATTTTATGTATCTTAAAATTGTTCGAGATATGTTTTAGTACCACCTTTTCCAACGTTCATTTCGAACACTCAGAGCATTTCTCCAGTGCAACCCGGCTCTTTTCTGGTAACGTGGCAGCTATCCAGTTCTAACTGGGACACAGTCACAGTTGTTCTGAACGGACGAGAGATGGGATCCACGTCCGATCAAGGTATATGATTCCCCTTCAAGTTACTAAAATCAATCTCCTACCCAAGTAGTAATGATTGGATTTTAGTAGCGGATGATTGGATTTTAGTCTATATGGATGAGGAAAATTTTTTTAAATTATTTCTTTAAAAAAGACCTGTAACATGAAGCATGATATCTTCGTTTTGCTAGGTGGGCAGGTTTTCCAGAATTAAAATTTTCTCACCAAATTCATTTTATGAGGCTTCAAAGCAATGAAAAGTCAGAAAAAAATTGAACCACAAAGTAAAAAAAATCAAGGGCAAAATCTTCGAAAAAACAGAACAACAAGTCCAACCCACACCCCCCCCCCCCCCCAAACACACACACACACCTATTACAATGAGTACATCTTGGCGCCGAAGTATCTTTAGAAAAACTGTATGCTTGGTCCGCCAAAATGAGTGTCACACTCATTTTATAGCACGAGCCTTGGGACCCATTAAGGCCGAGAGTTTTGGCGTTGAATCCCTAAAAGAGAGAGAGAGAGGGGGGGGGGGGGCAACCACAATTACGTTCGTTCTTTGGCAAAACTTGTTATCACCAATTCCAGTATAGGTAAAGTAGGCCAATGATGCAATTAACCAAAATATAAATGTGTGGAAGTAAAAATGGCTCGCACCTTATCGTTTTCACAAATTACCTTTCTTCTTTTCTTATCGTTATAATATATTTTTTTTCTTTTTAGCTGTTTCTTTTTCAAAATTTTGATATTTTAGAGTATACACTGACTGGTCTGGCAACTGGCACACTGTACGTGGTCCAGTTGTTTGTCAACTCCTTCGGAAGACGTGATCCAAATTTCTATTCAATGGAGTGGCTGACATGTGAGTACAACATAAAAACTACATTTTACATCAAATGATCATGTTTTTACCCATTTTGGAGGGTGTAATTTTGGTTTAAAACTTTGCAAGCAAAATAGCACAAAAAATGCTGATAAATTTCAAATTTTTGTCTTTATCATTTTTTGTCCAATGTTAACCAAACTTGAGAGAAACAAGTTTGAAGTTTTGCTTCAGTTCTTTCATCCCGTCACTTCTAAATCTGCCCAGATCTTTGTTCACATCTAAAACTAGGTGTTTAAAAGATTTATAATCAACCATAGTCGCCATTTTTCCAATCATTACAATACTTTAAAGCTCGTAAAAACTTTTCTTTATCCTCGCCAAAATAATGTGAAACAAAAACCACATCTTGTGTATGTTTGCTTACATAAAATGATATCTGGATAAATAAATAAATAATTAAAAATCAATTAATTGAGTTATAATTTTGCTTTCAAAAACGAAATCTCTTAACGTGAGATGTCTTGTAACCGTTTAGTTCATCTGACCACAAAATTTTTACAATCAAACAAAAGCTTCATAGAGATCCTTTCATATTAGTCCAAAATTTCACTCGGGAGGCAAAAAATATGTATGCCCAAAAGTTATCAGACTAATATAAGAAACTTTAATTGGAAAAAAAACAAATAAAATTCTTGTAATTTTGAATTAATTTGGAAACTGCTGAAACGGTTTTCCAAATTTCCACAACTGCCAACGTTTACAAAATGCACAAAATAAAAGCACCTCAACTGCAAGTTCGAAGATACAGGGGCAAAAAGAAGGCATCATAATAGACTTTAATAAACTTGAATTGATTTCATTGCATAACAAAAAATAGAATAAGGGATTAAACAAACCGATTGTAATTTTATCAAGAAACTTGATAATTAATTGCTGATTAGAATTGAATAAAATATTTTGTAGTGAATATAATTTGTTCCACAAAAAAAAAGAAAGTATAATAGCTTATTACTTGATTGTGATAGATTTTTTTGGACCAAATCACTCTTTCATTTATAAAATTAACGTTTTTTTGCGATTTAAAGAGTAAGCCAAGCTCATCAGTCTCCCAAAGAGCCAATCGGAGTCCTTATGCTGTTTGCAAAGATGTTTCTACATGAAAAACACCCCTGAAATTACCTATTATATACTGGCTATTTTGCGCCTTCAAAGCAAGGTTTTCTCAAATTTCGACCTGCATTGGTGTATAGCTTTCTGAAACTTTATATTAGTCCAATTTAAGTGAATACTTTATGAAAAACTTTATAAGAATTATCAGAATCAGAAATTTGACAACAGAATCAAGAGATTCAATTGGACTCCAAAATTTGGGACTTGAATCGAGGGTTGCAAATTTTGAAGCTTGAAAACATAAAGCAAATAGTAAACTAAAACAAATACCGGTCTTTTCAATGAAACATTTTAATTGTTCATGTTGCTGTCATTTTGTATTTATTTCTGTTTGCCCAGGATGCGTCTGTAATCTTAGGCAACGTTTTTTAGACATAGATCTGGCTTCTCGACATTTTTTCAACCCTAATTCATTCGATCAGAGTTTGAACCTAAATTTACCCTAAATTGATATACTTCGACCCTGTTCGACTCTAATTCGATCCCAGCTCGAATCTAAATCGGCCCTAACTCTACACTAAGTCGACACTACTTCGATGCTAGTTCGACTGCAATTTGAGCCTAGCTCGATCCTAGCTCGAATCTAGTTTGTCTGAGCATTTGCGCTAGCTGATCTGAGCATTTGCGTCACGAATTTAAGAGATAGTCACAAGCCAAGCGAGTGTGAGTTACTCGAGTAAACATTTGATCGCCAAATGACCTTGCTAAAGCCAAATTTCAAAGTTTCCAACCAATTTGGATGCAGTTTTTCTATGACGGTTGTCTGTCACTCTAAGTGAATGCAAAACTGAAAGTGGTCTGTTAAAATCCTTGTAAAAAAGTTCTTTTTTCCGGCAACAACTTGATACTCATGGAAAGACATTTAAAAAAATGTTGTTGTCAGTATTTTTCAACTAGCTCTTAGCTCAACATATCTGTTCTGCTCCCAACAACGGCTGGCTATTTTTGTACACTTTCTATCTTTCAGCTTTTTCTAAAGGACATCTAAGAAAAAGAGTCATATATTTTGACATTTTCATCTTCGATTGAAAAACCCCATTTGGTTTTGCGTATCTGTTGTTAACAACAATACGCAACAAGCAGCAATGAAACTCCATCTGAGGACAAAAAAATTCCACTATACTTATATATATAAGAAACTTTAATTGGAAAAAAACAAAAAAAATTCTTGTAATTTTGAATTAATTTGGAAACTGCTGAAATCCGTAAACCTACATATATATGAAATCCGTAAACCTCCTAAATTAAGACTAAGTCAAACCTCGATCATTATCTGGGTACCGTTTCTTTGAGTAGTTTGTATATCCACTTTGTTTTGCAGATCCGGACCCCAAATCATCTTGTGCGATGTTCAGGGATGAGAAACGATGCTCCTACTACTTCCCATCCCGCTGATTGAATGTCTGCTCTGAGCATTCCCAGTATCGTTAACGGATTCATGGTGTGAACTTCGTGTTCTTTGATACTACTAGTATCTGTTTTGCTGTTGCCAAATTTAAGAAAGATACCTGGCTACCCGTATCGATGGTCATATTTATGATTTAATTATCTTTTCTGATCAGCGCCTTTAGCAAATTTATCGGTGATTTTTGACATTTTGGTTTTTGACATTTGATATTTTGGTTTTTGGCCAGGTCTGGCGGTACTACATGCTGACTTTCGATTCTATTTTCCATAATTTTTTTCAATTTGATCAAATGATGTGAAATCGCGTTCAAATAACATAATTTCAAAATCGTCGCAAGAGTCAAAACTTTGAATCGGGTTGCATTCATCGTCTGAACTTGAAGTGACTTTGGTAACTTAATTCACTTATTGTGACCGGCACATTTTAGCGAAGTAGTTGCATTTTTTGCAGTTCTTACACGTCCTGCCCATTGTTGGACAATTACTCAAATGCCCATCCGTCTCTCGTCCACATCTAGGACATGGTTTCCTTTCTACCCGAACATTACGTTGTTTTTATATTCGTTTGTCTTTCGCTTATATTGATCTCTGTATATTGTCTTCTATTGTTTTGACCTTTATTGACTACTGCCATAATAGGGTTCTGTTTTATCTTTATTTGGTTCCCAGTGTAAAAGCCTGCAGTTGCAGTAAGGGCATTCGACCTCTGAAAAGCCTGCGTGTTTGCTTTGTTCGATTTCTAGAGCTCTCTCTTCAAAACTTCGTTCGGCGGAAAGGTTTCAAAATTTAGTGTAACTTGCATCCTTGATATGAATTGGTCTGTCACTAACTCGACTCCAAGTGTGCCTAGTTCCGCCTTTGCTGTCTGTGCAGTTGGAGCTGCATGAAAGGATTCCAGGGTTTCTCCTCTTTCTAGTGATCTGTTACACAGTTTGTAACGGCCATACGTGACGCTCTGTGATTTCTTAAACCAAGCTTTGGCCAATACCACCATTTCTCGAAACTCAAGGTTAGATACTTCCATACGTGGGTTTTTCTGATTGAATCGTTTCTTGACTTCCGTACCCGGCGCCAGGAATAACCTTGATGCGAATTGCTTCTGCACTTCGTTGTAGTAAACTTTATGGCCGAATTTTGTTCCTCTTTCTCTTATTTTCTTATTCTCTAGCAGAATCTGTCTCGTGCCAATTTGTCTCTTGCTTCCCTATCAGTAACTTTCTGTGCATCTTCGTTTGCTCGTGGCAATTCCGGTCATGAAATCGGCCCTTCTGTAACTGACTTCGGATCCTCCAGTAGTATCTCTGGGTTCACATTTTTTGCATGGCATTTTTTATTGTGACCCAAGCTAGGGAAAAGACAAAACTGAAAGTTCAATCTCTATTTGAATCCCTGGTAAGAACTTACTTCTTTCACGGGGAAAGCAAAAAAATAGCTGGAGCACGGCTTGTTATTGTTTTTTATCCAAACTACATCCAAAGCCAGCCTCTACGCTTTTTTAGTTGATCAGATATAAAAAATGATCGCAGATCAAAGGTTTTTCATTCTTTTTTTGGTTCTCACACATCGTAAAAAAAAATAATTTAATTCTTTTTTATTCACGAAAAAGTTATTTGTTGCCGTTTATCTGTCATGCACTTACGAATTGAGGTGGCAGCTTTTAATCTCCTTTTTAAGAAAAAAAACTTCTCAAATTAATAATCATACTAATATATTGTTTGCAACTTAGATTTCATTCATTGTAAAAGTTACTACATTTACAACCAAATGGAATCTCATTGTGAGAACGCCCTGGAAATATGCAGCCCCTTTTCAGGCGCCTCTGATCCTGCTATGACTTCTGTTATTTTTTAAAATCCATTGTTAATCAAGAAATCAAAAAAAAAAAGATTTAATGATTTAATGAGAAAACCAATTGAAACGGAAGAGGGTAAGTTTCGGGCACTATAGCTACCCTTGACAGCAAATCCTTTTTGATTTTTTTTCTACTCAAAAATGAGTTTAACTAGTTGATAACTTCCTAGAATGATGAGAATATTGTAACAATAATGAAGATACATATAATAGCCTAAGCATCTCAAGGTTACTGTGGCATCAGTGCCACAATCCTCGGCTGTTTCAAAGTGGAGTGGTATTCTCCACGCTGTATTCCAGGTATTTGTTGTATATCGAGACACGCACAGCCAAATTTCTTTCGAAATACGTGCCGTTCCGAAAGATGAATCGTTTTGGTCTTGAATGTGGCCAGTTTTATTCTGTATGCCTTCAGAACCGTTTTGCTTAGTTCCGCAATATCTGCCTGCGAGCAGATGAGCTTGACCGAATGTGTTATTGGGTCCACGTAAAGTTCCGGTCCCTAATTTTTTTTAGCTGTCTGTCGCTTCTTCTGACTGCTGTGGATCCTTCTTCCTGCCCTGATTCGTCTGAAAAACCGGGAGGGGTGTCCTCTGCCACGGCGTCTC